CGAGCTGCTCATCTGCCAGTACAGCCACATAGGTTGGTTGTTTTTTTTATTATTTCTGGAAAGATTTAACCAGCTCTGGGCAACACCATAGGGTGCTCTCCTTTGGCAAAACAACTCCCAGTGTGACTGCTGTGATACAGGTGGTAAATAATGGAATGAAGACGCGTTGCCAAAGTGGAGCTTCCCGGGTATATGCAAAGGGCAGCAGAAAGAGTATCAGAAGCTTTTTTCAATTAAGTCCTTTGGACATCTGGTCAGGGAAAATCTTATTGTCGTGGACAATAGTGTGCACTAGAAAGGAAGAAAAACGGGCTCTTTTAAGCAAAGAGCGTGTCAGTGTCATGAACATTTCACTCCACTATGTCAGTGTTGTTCTGCTGAAACCGTGTAGGGCAGCAGATAGCATCAACTAGCAGAGGAAGCTTCAAACAGCATCAACTAGCAGAGAAAGCCTCCTAACACTAACTGTCTTTTCTCAGTATTGCAGAGAATAGCTTAAATGTCATGTCAGTTAAAACGTTGTCAGCTTGTTTGATTTAATATTTCCTTCTTTCTATTTGCCTTCTGATCATTTAATCAGTATATTCAGTCTGCACAGTGTGGAAATGACTTGCTGAATCACCCCTGGCTGTTGTGGTGGGACTGGGAGCTGACCTTGAGGGTTACTTGAGCCCCACTCATTTCTCTGGTCTGCAGGCCATCTGTACCAGTGCTGTCATGAAGCTGAGGTCCCAGAGTCAGCAGGTGTAAGAGCTGCAGGTAGAGCTCTTAGGGATGGAGAACAGTCATAGCATTTGTCTTGGGAGATGGAAGAGAAGAAAGAGCAACCAATGGGTGTTTGCCAGCAAATCAGTGTTCTAATTGTTTTCTGCCAGCAGTTTGTGGTCTAGGAGGTGAGAGTCTGAGCTATTCCCGTGCATTTTGCAACCCATCTGTGTGTTGCTATCACAAGGAAGTTCATGATCTGGCTCTCTGCAAGTGGTAGAACACTCATTAGTAAGATTACCTGGCATGAGCAAAGCTGGGGGGGAGGGAGAGGAGGAAGTCACTCACGTTGGACCAGAGTTCATCAGAACAGCATGGGGATGCTTCAGGCTCTGCTGTCCTTTGGTGTCTGATTTCTCCAGCTTAGTCTAGGAGGTGTGGATAGCACATTCCAGAGGCTGATGTTGAAGGCGGTGGCTGCCCCCAGGTGATAACGCTAATTGCAATCAAGTTGTCCTGTGCTGCATATACCACTGGCTGTGCTTGCCTTCCCAATCCCAACGGACATTAGTCACAGCCTGGGTATGCTGTGGTACAGCACTTGGTTTTCCTGGAGTTTTTTCTTCACAGCTTGTGGCTGTTACACACCTGCAGCTGGATCATGTTTACAGGACCTGCTGAAGCTGTTGTACTCGGAGTGTACAAGGACAAGCTTGACTGTAGGAGCGCTGACTGATAGTGCTTTTGTGGAGGAAGGAAGTAACTGCAAAAAAAAACACAAAAAAACCCACCGAAATTATCTTAGATACTGATCAGGGGCACTGTCTGGATGGCATGATTTCAACTGACAAAATGGCCTTTGTTTTGTTTGTGCGTTTTTGGATAGTGATGGCCTGGTCTGTGCTTGAGATCAGTATCCGTCATAGTATCAGGTATTTAGCCACCTGTGACAGACACTTGACATGAAGCAGTAAAGCCACACCAGGTGCTCAAAGGTCAGATGTGGAGGCAGAGACCTGCCCTCAAGTATACCTTCAGCATTTCCTGCCTGACGGTGTTTTTCTTCTATGCATAGGCTAAAGTTCTCTGCCAGTGTGATGTTGTCAGTCAAGGGCACGTTGTATGCTGATTGTTCCTCCTTCCAGGACAGGGGAAACTGCACTTTCCAAGTGCTGCTTGTTTGACTTGGAGGTGGAGGCAACGGGGCAGATGGGACAGCAGAGCAACGCTGCCACTGTGGGCAGGTGGGCAGCTCTAAGGCTGCCTGCCCGTGTTCTCAGCCAGCTGCTGCCTCTCAATGTGGGAAGCACCTGAGGTTTGAGATGGCCACGGTATCTCAAGATCCGTACTCTGCTGTGGATATGAGGTGGATCAGGCAAATCTCTTTGGAGAAAGAAGAAGCTGTTGACTCCAGCACACCTGGGAAGTTGATGCATCAGCTCACTTTTGAAGGAGGTGGTTTTCCAGAAGTTAGATATATTTTTTCTTAAGAAGCAGAGAAAATGGTCTGTCCAGTGCATCCCATGCAGAAGTGATGGCATGGGGCATGTCTGTATGCCCTTGCAGATGGGAAAATATTCCCTTGGGGAGGGGCAGGACCTTGTGGGACCTGCTGCATAAAGCTATGGTGTGAGTTTGTCTTCACACACACAGTTGAGCTGAAAAAGTTGTGAAACTCTCAGACAGGAGAGCACTCTGAGATCATGGGGCACTAAGTCATAAAAAGCAGGACAAATAAACGACTTCTCTAATTTCCATTGCTTTTTCTTGGCAGTGGAGAGAGTGGTGCAGGGAAAACAGAGAGTACGAAGCTATTGTTGCAGCACATAATGAACCTCTGCAAAGGCAACCTGCAGCTGGAGCAGCAGATCCTTCAGGTAGGTCATTACAGGATCATGCTTGGAGGTGCAGAAGCAGCACTGCTGCAAGACAACTTGTTCTGGGTTCAGGAAGCCTGCTGATGAATCACCACTGGAAGACAGGCAGCAAAACAAGACACATAAGAAAATAGTGGGTAAGGATGGTGAAATAGCTAACCACAAACTGGAAGAGTGGGTAGGTTAGTAACTCAGTTTTCTGGGAATGTAGTGGTATCTTGAATGATAGAAAACAATTGTGAATGTTCTCTGTGACAAGGGATTAGAGGCATTTTTCCAAATAATTTCCTATTTGAGATAGAACAAGGACTTGTATTAAAAATATGAAATGTTAATTTAGTAGTACACAGGGATGGAGAATCCACACAGCCTTCTGTCACCTTTCCTTGGCTACTTATACTGACTGTCTGGCACATACCTGCTAACTGGCTACCTTCATGTTTGCCATTTTCATATGCCTTTGCTAGCTGATTTTGAAAGATACTTGTCTCTTTGATCTGAAGTATTTCCGTTGTGATTACTCCCCGGGGAGCTGTGGGGATTTTTTAGCAAATCATACTTTAACCTTCCATGTAATAGATTAAGTTCCTGGACTACTTAATTTTAAAGTCTTTGTTTTCAGGTTTCCTGTAGAACCAGACAGATTTGTGTGTGCTGAGTTAACCTTGGCTGGACACTCTATCTCCTCCGTCTCAGGGTTGCAGGGAGAAGAATATGACAAAAAGGCTTGTGTAGGTCGGGGTAAAACCAGGGAGATCACCCAGTGATTACCATCATGGGCAAAACAGACTTGACTTGGGGAAAATTAATTTCTTGCCCATTAACATCAGAGTACGATAATGAGAAATAAGAACAAATCTTAAAATACCTTCCCCAACACCTCTCTTCTTCTCAGGCTCAACTTCACTCCTGATTTCTCCACCTCCCTCTCTCAAAGGGGTTGTAGTCACTTCATCACATCTGTCTCTGCTGCTTCTAGTTCCTTGGATTGGACTCCTTATACTCCAGCATGGGGTTCATCCCATGGGAGACTGTCCTCCACAAACTTCTCCAACATGAGTCCTTCCCACAGGCTGCAGTTCTTCACAAACTGCTTCAGTATATGTTCCTTCCATGGGTTGCAGTCTTTCAAGAACAGACTGCTCCAGCATGGGTCCCCCACAGGGTCACAAGTCCTGCCAACAAACCTGCTCCTGCCTATGCTCCTTTCTTCACTGGTCCCCCGGTCCTGCCAGAAGCCTGCTCCAGCATGGGCTTCTCAGGGGTCACAGGCTCCTTGAGGTATCCACCTGCTCCACCACAGACCTCATGGGCTGCAGGTGGATATCTGCCATTGATGGGTCTGTCTTGGATCCATCTGGTACTGGCTCTGTTGGACATGAGGGAAGCTTCTGGTATCTTCTTACAGAACTGCTCCCTATAGCCCCCCCTTCACCAAATCTTGCCACACAAACCAAATACACTGTGCCATGCTCTGGGCTTGGAATGGCATATTATTTCAGTGTGGTATCATCCACAGTAGATCCAAGGTGAATGCCTGTGCTCTGTTGTGGGAACATGGCATTGATCTACCTGCTGGCTCCGCTTACAGCTGGCTTGGGCCACACTGCCAAGCTGCTTCTGATCTGAGCAGGTTCAGGAAGCAGCTGTGCCTGGACAGCTGAGGGCCTGTCCTAAAGGACCCTAAAAGACCTGACTGGCAGTGTGGTAGCCAGCATGCAGTTCCTGCACTGGAAACAAAGTTCACTTCAGCCCAGCTGAGCTGCTCTTTGCAAACCTGGAGGTTACAGAAGAAATAATAGTAATCTAATTTGCTTCCTGTAGATACATTGAAGGGCTAAGTTAGTCCTTTTGGTGTTACAGTGTCCTGCTGTAAAGCTGTGCTCAGCAGGCTGCCCAGCATGTACCCTAAGGCATCGTTCGTCCAATCAGCAGGCATTCTTTGCTCAAACGTAGAAAAACTGTCCTTTCACCTTGTTTGGATCCAGTTAACCAAGCTGGTTGTTCTATTATAATTCTTTATTCTGCATTAATTCTTTATTGGTATTCTTTATAATTCACTGTCCTGAGCTATATTCAGTCTACAAATTCCAGTAGCTAAGTTATGATGCTTCTATTTACTGGGTGCCAGGTTTGCCTTGTTTATTGTTGTAGTATAGCAGTCAAATTATCTACTGATACTATGTCAGATGCTTTGTGGAAATCTGTTACCACAACCTTATCTTCTGACAAATGAGTCAATTATCTTTCTCAGATGAATCAGTTTGCTTCTACTTATTTTCAGTAATCCCATGTCTTTGTTATATTTGCAGCTTTCAGTCCTTTTATCCAGGCTATGATAAAATAGGTGCTCTTGAGTGCTCATGAAGTGGTTCCTATTCCAGCTGAATGTTGAACAGTAAATGCTAAAGCTGAACTTTTCAGAGTAAATTAGATTGGATCACCTAATCTGAAGAATGCTTGTTCTGCTTGCTTACTTGGTTCAGGTAAATCCATTGCTTGAAGCTTTTGGCAACGCCCAGACTGTGATGAATGACAACAGCAGCCGCTTTGGAAAATACATACAGCTGCGTTTCCATAAGAATACAGGTAAAGTCAAAAAGGGCAGTTACTAGTTTGGAAGGTGGTTAGGCACTCAAGGCAGTGAACTGAGTAGCCAGAACTTGTGGAGAGTGAAATTTTGTCAGCTCCCTGGAGGAAGGGTGTGCAGTTAAGTAAGTAAAATCTTAAAGCAGCTACAGCTGTAGGATAAGACCTGGGTTTAGACAGTGTGGGAATACAGGAAGGATGTGGGGGTGACAATGCAAAGGAAGTTTCAGTAATACTTCGTGATGCCAGGAGCCTCGATTGCTGCTAAAGGAGGTGAGCAGACATCTCTAAGATGATGGGAAGCATGGAGAAGCCCAAGGTGCTGGGCATACTAGAGGGTGTTGCACACAAGGAAGTTACTTTGGACAATTCCACGTGCCTATTACCAAATGAGAGATCTGGGATAGCTCAGTGAGCTTCATGTCCCCAGGTGCAAAGTTTACCCTGTCACTCTTCTGTGCAGTGCGAGGTGCGAAGCTGAGTGAGTACCTGTTGGAGAAGTCACGGGTAGTGCAACAAGATATCAGGGAGAGAAATTTCCATATCTTCTACTACATGTTTGCTGGACTGTCTACAGAGGAGAAGGAGATGTATGGGCTATTGGATCCCTCATTCTACAGGTACTTCAGAGGCAGAACCTAGCTTAGACTTCTTGATGGGGGGTGAGGGGGAGAGCAGCATAATGAGGCCTCTACCTCTGCCCTGTGGTTCTACCTGTGGAGACTGGTACAGGTAAACAAATGAAGGGAAGCTGGAGGTGTGATCTGACTGATGCTATGTGAAGGGATCTTGTGGGTCATCATGGAAGCTGGGAGGTCTCTTTGCTGTATTACCATGGAAAAGTTTCTTTCCCTCTGAAGTCTCCACTGCTGCTGATCTGCTTTGTTCCTTTTGGGTAGGACTGGCTTGCTGTGCTGACTGTGTTATGGTTTTTATGGGATATGCACTTTCTCAGGTACCTAAGTGGATGGTTTGGTACACAGGATGTAGTTCAGCACTGGAAGCACAAATACCAAGAGGTGTGCAATGCCCTTGACATGGTGGGATTCCAAGAACAGGTCAGTTCTCAGGTTGTTTAATTTCCAACTCTGCTTTCTGCAGGCATAGGGCTTCTTTCTGGCTGCTGTTTTGAGGCTCATTCCTGTTTTTCTCCTCTGGATTTTCCATAAGGCTTTCTGAACCACCGAAGTCTGTCAGACTTTGTACAGAGCCTTTTCCCACAGGCTACCTGTGCCTTTCCCTTACCTTTCCAACTTCTGTGGCCTCCATGTTGTGCATGATACACACTGATAGGTTTTCAGTCACCATTCTTGCATGTTTTAGGAGCAAGTGGACATGCAGACTATCTTGGCTGGTGTGCTGTCTCTGGGCAATGTGACCTTTGAGCCTGAGGAGAGCAATGGGTCTGTAAAAGTGAGTGGAGCCTCCCAGGGATGGCTGAAGGCTGCAGCGGTGAGTCACAAGGAGAGCTGACAGAAACTTTATTGATATGATGCTTGCTCCCACTGGCACTGTGACTGCAGGAGCTGCTCCTGACAGAGATGCGAGAGGATGTTTCTGCCTCAGAGCATGCAGACTACTGAAGAACAAGGAGTTTATTCCAAAAATACACTGTGTCACCTCGTGACTGCATCTGTGTTCACTGCTATTCATTCCCAAAGAGATCTTTCACAGCTTCTATTTCTCTGTTTCACTGTCTAGAAGCAGTGTCATGCATGTGGTAATATCATATGTGTCTTGCTGACTTCATACAACACAATCTTCTTAAAATCAAATGTTATATGTTAGTAAGCATGGTAGTTCCTTGGAGTAATTCAAGTGTGCAGTATCTGAACGCTAGTTCTGTGGTTTTGACAAATCTTTTGGAAGGATACCACCTAACTGCTGGCATTTTTGTTGCTTATCAGCAACTAAACTTTTTACTATTTCACATGAAATTCTAACAGATTAAGAGGTATATATTCCCCAGGATCATCCCATTTTTTATCATACGGGTTGATACATTGTCTTGATTTGTTAACAACTTAGAACAGAAACAAGTTATATATTTCTGCCTTTTCTGTGTCTGTTTATTTTGGCCTATTTGAAACCCCAGCACCCTTGGGATTTTTTTTTTCTTTCCTATCCCTTTGCCTGTTTCCCTCCTACACCATACCTGAAACAACTGCCTACATCTGTTCTCCAGCCAGCTTTTTTTTTTTTTTTTACTTCTTGTTTTTTGCCGAGGGGAGGGGAATTCCTGTTTAAGCAATCACTGAGGAGTTCAGTTGTGTCTGACTCCTCTGTTTCCTGTGTCTTGTGGGTTGGTTTGGCTCTGATGCCTGCTGAAGCTCGGATGCCTCAGCACCTTCACAGCTGCCTTGGTGTGGTGCTGTTCAGTAAGTGATGAAGCTGCTTAGCAGGGACTGAGCAGCTCCCGGGAAGGTGCAAGGTGGCAGCACTGGGAAAGGAAAAACAGAAAGTATTTCAGAGGAAGCCCAAGCATGAGCTTTGTCACTGCGGGGGTGATACACATCTCAGAGCCTGTGTTTGACTCCAGTGGTGCGAGATGTTGGCAGTAACACTTGCAGCTGAGCTCAGAGGCCTTAATCTGAATCACGACCCTGTTACACTGGGTGCTGCACAGATGCAAGGAGATATGATGCTCACAAGTAGAATAAGGGTTCACTGTTGACTGTCCTGATCTGCTTCCTCTCTCCCAGGGTCAGTTTGGAGTCCAAGAAGATGAACTGCTAAAATGCCTTGTTTGCACAATGTCGGTGACACGAGGTGAGCAGATCCAGCGTTTTCACACCCAGCAGCAAGCAGAAGGTAAGAAACATAATGAATTGCAGATGTACTGGCTAGAAAAACTGACCCGTAGTTGATGGAAGGGTATTCCCACACATGTGCAACTTGCTGGGAACAAAGAGGCCTGTCTGTGCCTCTTCATTCCTATTGCACAGAGGCAAATATATCAGTGTTTATCTGTTTAGTCTCTCACTAACATGTAGGACCATGAATGCTGCTTTTGTTTGATCTCCAGGAGACTGCAGAGATTAAATGAGAAACTGAGGAATTAACTTTGCTCTCTCCCTCAGTCCAGCCTAGAAGTAAACTGTAGATATTTGTAGGAAAGAGGGGAAGGCTCCTATTGCAGGGTGTTTGCAGTGTGCAAAGCTCTAGGTAGTAGATGGAGAAATGACAGAGAATCATGGAGAAATAACTGAGAGAAACAATGAGATAACATGGTATCAGGGAAGGAGTAAGGTGAGAGGAGGGTATGTTGAAGTAGCAAGCACAAGGTGTTATTTTCCCTTCCAATAAGAAAAGAAAATAATCCAATATAATCTGCACGAAAGGGTTCACTTAAAAGGAAAAATTATTTAAAAATAAATTAAAAAGCATGAAATCCCAGGAGTTCTAGATTATTGCTTAAAATAAATGACAGAAAAAACTGAAAATGGACAGGTAGCTGCTGCTGTTTCCCAAATGTCTTCTGTTGCATCACTTTAGATAATAAAATGTACATCTTCCATCATGCAGTATGTCTCCTTCATAGATGTCAGCAAGTTTACCACCAGTTGCATCCTCCTCTTGCCCACGGTGTTTCAGTATTTCGCAGCTGTGGGCTAGGAGGAACAGAACCCTTCAGCTTTCTAAGTACAACTTGGAGGCTCTTCCTTGGTTTAACTTTGGTGGGTTCCATACCCAGTAGGCTTTCAGAGAGCAAAGCAAGTCTCTGGATATTCTAAAAAGTGGCTGGACTTTTTTGGAAATGAAATTTTGCTTTTCACATGGTCTCACGGGTGCCATAATGTGCCATATATAGTCTTGTAGAAAGGTTGTGAAGATTTCAGAATGAAAGCCCTTGTGTGAGTCTGCAGGGGGCAGGGACAACCAGACAGACATCTGATGTTTGTCTGATCTTTAAAAGAGCTTCATACACCACTAGACCCTGTTGCTGGAGGTGAATGTCTTGAGCCAGCTTGTGTGCTGGGTTCCCTACTCTCCTCTGAGCCCTTCAGTGAGCTGCTCTTGTTGTCCTTGTGCAGATGCTCGGGACTCCATTGCAAAGGTGGCATATGCCCGAGTATTTGGCTGGATTGTTTGCAAGATCAATGAACTGCTGGCTGAGAATGTGGATCCTGAGGTGGAACTGAGGGAGATAGGTGAGTTCTGCCTCCCCTGCTCCTGTTCTGTCCTCAGATGTGTGTCCCTCAGCTGCACCAAAGGAAAGGCACAACATGAGGTTTCATGGAACTTGCATGCAGGGATCCGTAATTGAGGACCATGTTGGAGATACTGGCCAGCAGTATCAAGTCTATAGGGCCTTGGCCAACTCTGAGCAGTTGGTTGGTCTGAAGCAGCTGTGGGGCTGTTGTTCTGGAGCACTTGAGCTTTGCAGAGGAGCTGGGGGTGGGAGTAGGGCTATTAACTGGTGCCACTGGTGACTTGAGTGGTGTCTCCATGTGCCACAGGAGCTGGGTGCAGGGACATTTAGTTGTGTGTTAGGGCATGGCAGCTGTCTGCAGGGAAGGTCTGCATCATGTTCTCATCTTCCTTCTCATAGGTATCCTGGATATTTTTGGGTTTGAAAACTTTTCAGTGAATCGTTTTGAACAGCTTTGCATAAACTTGGCCAATGAGCAGCTGCAGCACTTCTTCAACCATGTAAGTCTCACCTTGTGTGGCAGAGAAAGCAAAGCACTGATCTACCTGGCATATTAAGGAGAGCTTAGGAAAAAACAGGTCTTTTGCTTGGAGGGGCACATGGTGATCACTGAATCAAAGTAAAGAGCAGCAACCTTCTCTGCTGTGGCGGGGGAGCCACTGAGGCAGGGAAGGAAGAAGCAGAAGGGTCAAGCAGTGACCAAAGTGGGCAGAGCAGGGATATCCTGAGTTTTCCAGCTTTATGCACCAGCATCAGTGAGCAACAGGCCTGCAGAACAGCAATTTTGTCTTGGGCCTGTCATGCCATGGGTGAGAGAGCCACGCTTCTGTCCTGTGTTTGGGGTGGGGAGGAGGCTGTTCACAGTTGTCTAGCCAAGCCTGCTGGATGCTCCAACCTCTTTTTTTCTCTTGTTCAGCACATTTTCCAGCTGGAACAGGCTGCCTATAAGGAAGAAGAGCTGCCTTGGGAGACTATCACATTCAACAACAATGAACCTGTTTTGGTGAGTGAGAGGACTGACAGAAGGGAAGTGCTCCCTCCAGCCAAGAGAGGAGACTTGTACTTGGGGAGGAGATGTACCTGGGAAGAACCTCTTTGAAGGGTGGCATAGATGAGAGTGGATGCCCTGTACTGCTTTAGATATGTCTAATGTGTCTTCTTTCCTGCAGAACCTACTCCTGGCCAAGCCACTTGGGCTCCTGTCTCTTCTGGATGAGCAGAGTGCATTTCCTCAGGTATGCATGAGATAGCTGGGAAAGAAGATAGTGTTGGAGAATGTAGAAATAAATATTTGGGCTGCAGAGAGAGAGTGTGGCTTCCAAGAGCAGGATGAACAGAAGTGTCCCCATGTGTGACTGATGAGATAGTTGCCTCAAGGACAATCTAATGATACTGGCATCCCTGTGGAGAGTAAGAGAGTACAAAAACTGTTCCACAGCCAAGGCCACTTCCAACATTTTGTTTTGCTTCCAGGTGCTGTGATCTCATTGGAGCCTTATTGTTTAATTATTAAATCTGCTTTCTTGCAGGCAACTGATAAGACATTTGTGGATAAATTAAACAGCAGCTTCAAGGGGAATTTACACTTTGAGCCAGGCCGAGGCCATGTTTTGAGCTTCAGCATCCTCCACTATGCTGGAAAAGTACGTACTGTTTGCAGGAAGGAGGCTGGTTTTATATGTATAGAAGGGGGCAAATGTGTTGCTGGACAAATAAGGCTTCAATGTTAAGGAGTGTATGGTCTGACAGTGGTAATAACAGAAGTGATGTGTTCCCAGGGAGCTGCCTTCTAGAATTCATTGCAATTTCTGTAGAAGGTGCAGAAAGAGAGGACCCTCAAGGAAAATGGGGTTAGCTGTGGGAAGCATAGGGTATTAGAAGAGTGCTGCATTCATCATCATTCTGTTGGAGCTCTAGTCTTAAAATAGTCCTTTATAAAATAAAAGCCCTGCATCCACTGTGTAGCACCAAAGGATGGTCTAAAGCCTTTACCTATTGGATTCCAGTGCACACCAGCCACTATTTTATTGCAAACACTGAGGAAGACAGTGAAAGCAACCAGGTAATTAATGTTTTGAAAAGGTAGCCACTTATTTATACATTCAGTGGTGTCTAAGCAGCTTGAGGTTTTGGACTATTGCATGTACCCTTCCTATTATCAATTTTGAAAGCATTGGCCCTGAGACAGTCAATTGATTTGGGACAAATTTTGAAACAGGAGCAGACATGACAACTCAGGTCATTGTAATATGTGATTTAGTAATTTAATCTCACTATTGTTGGCTAAGTTATTACTTGTGGCATTCTTTATTACAAAAATTAACACCCAACATGGAAAACTGAATGGCAGGCTGGAGATGAGAAAGCAAGAAAGAAAGAGAAACAAGGACATGCATGACAACAGGATGGAAGTCTATTTAAAGGGAAAAAAAGGGGGAGAGGAAGGAAAAGAGTGAAGCATAAACCAAAAGTAAATGAAACTTCATAACCAAGGAAAGGTGGACATGAAAAAGTGGATGTCTCAGTGTTGTGCTGCTCTCCTGTGGTTCTACTGCCTCAGTGCCATCCAAAGGGTTTTGTTCCTCAGGATTTGCATCTGAAGGGTGCACAGAGTCATTTACAGAATACCTTCCAGCCCTATACATTCAATTTATCCATTGCTCCTGGCAAGCTGTGGAGGTGGCTTTCTCAGCAAGCCTGTGAGCCCTGCTGACCTTAGAGACTTGCTTCCCTTTCCCCTAGGTGCAATATACAGCTGGAGGCTTTCTGGAGAAGAACAGAGACACCTTGCCAGCCAATATCCGTGGGCTCTTCATTAATAGCATCACCCCCCTGCTCAGTATGCTGTTCACAGGCAAGTCCCTCTGCTATGACAGGGTGTCCCACATGCATCAAGGCCCACCTTGGCGAAAGTGAAGTGTGGGGATGAGGCTTGTGTGCTGGGAGTGTGTTGCACAGCTAACAGTCCCAGGGAGACTGCCTTCACTGGCCCTTTCCATATGTTCTGTTTTTGTCTAGAAACTAAGCTGGACAAAGTGATAGCTTCCAGCTCTTCACACTGAAAACAGAGTGCTGCAAAGCCATAAGCAATGAATGTAGAGATTATCCTTTTCAAAAACATTTTGGTTTTCAGGTAAAACTTGTTAAAAAATCTGGGGTCCTGCGTTATTTCTTGCTCACCACTTAGACTCCCTTTTTCCAGTTATTGATAAGCCCTTGGAGTTCCCAAGGCTTCTATGAAAGTAAAAATTTAAGGAAAAGTCAGGTGGGTGCTTCCATGCAATTTGTCTGACTGAACACAGTGCTTCTGTTGCAGAAATCTTCATATTTCTTTTTGTCCTGTGTAATCCATGCTACTATCTGGGATTTACAAGTAACTGATGAATTTCATTTCCATTCTCCACTGTGTTTTTTCAGCTCTTCTGCTCAGAAGTATCTTTCTTCTTTACCACTTCCACACTGTTACTGAAGATAATTAGTGTTGCCCCAAATGTTTAAAAGTTCTTAAACAACAAAGAAAATGTGTTCTCCGATTGGTTGTCCATGCCTGGGCAATGGCTGTAGGTGGCCCTGCTGAGCAGTGGGGTTAGCCCAGGTGACCTCCAGAGGTCACTTCCAACCTCAACCATTCTGTAGTCCCATGATCCACATGACACTCTTGAATGAAAGGTGTGCAAGACTGTCACTAGATACTTCTGTAAATTCAACTTCCCTGAATTTTCATTTTGTTGGTATATCAGTTTTAAACTATTTGGCTAAATAACCTCTCACCTTGACAGCTATAGGTGATCTTCCCAATTGCTGTTTTACTGCATTGTGAGATGCCCATTGGTGATAAACCTTTTGAAGGTCATTTAAGGTTGTTCAATAACCTGATTGCCTGGTCTTCTCAGTGACAGAAAATAATACTGCCTGCATTGTATGCTTCATATATTTGCATTTTATTCTCCCCTTTTTTAGCTCTTTCCTTGTATTTCCACATTGTGAAGCCTAATGCCCCATGTGTGGTTCAGTATGCATAGGGAGGCTTGTGCATGAAGTGAGGTTTGATTGTTTAGACATGGTTGATTGTGAGCAAAGGTACAAAATTAACTCTTGTCTCTGCTCTTCCAGCCACTGTCTCCAGAACAGGGACACTGATGCCTTATGTGAAAGCCAAGGTATTGCACTTTTCGAACCCTATGGCAATTGATATAAGATGGCATAGTTACCTGATATTTATTGCTTGAGAAAATGGCTGAAAATTAAAGCAGACAGTAATTGGTTGAGAGTAAGAGCAGATCGCAATCTTGCTGGCAGCAATTTCTCCTTTATTTTTTACTGGGTTTTCTGTTTGCTTCTGCTGACATGTTTAACTTGCCTTCCCCCCACTGAAATCCTTTCTCTCTCCTTTTTGCCGTCCACCTTCCAGCAGAGCTCTTTGGATGGTAATCAAGCACATCTTCCAGGGATGATCTTTTGTTTGGGTCTGGTTTCAGGTCGTACCAGGAGCAGCTGGCAAGTTCAATAGCACACGGAAACAGTCTGCTGGAGCTCAGTTCCGCGTGAGTTATTGCTGCCCTGAAGTGCCCCTGGAGATGAGTGTGGTGATATCTTAGTGAAAGCTTCCAGGCTTCTAAGCATAGTTAAAGCATTCACCATCTGGACAGGGTCTTTTCTGGGTGCCAAGTACACCTGATCATGGTGGGAGCAACCCAGTTGTTATCAGAGCCTTGAAAGTTGCAGTGGGGTGGGAAGACAGTTCTTGCTGCAGGATGTTGTACACTGGGCTCTGAGACTGCTTTGGCTTGCTGAACTGTTCACCCTTCTCTGCCCTTGCCAGCATTCCCTGATGGTGCTCATGGAGAGGCTGTATTCTGCCAACCCACACTTCGTGCGCTGTATAAAGCCCAACAGCCAGAAGGAGCCAGGTGTGGTGGACAACCAGGTGGTACTGCTGCAGGTAAGGACAAGCTGCATCCTTTACAGGTATTTCTGCCACCTCTCAGTGGGGAAGGCAGACCCACCAAAAGGCTGTGCACACAGCTGGAAGCTGACTGGTCTGAGTCTCCACTTGCAAGAGATAGAGTAGGCATGTTTTTTTATGCAGGTAAAAGTTCTGGATACGTGGCTGTTTTTGTGACACAGTCTGGTAGGTCCAGCTTTTGCAGTCTTATTTCTCTTCCATTTATTTTTCACTAATGCAATGAGATCTGCTTGTCAGGCACTGAGATTCATCTTTGAAACTCCTGGATGGGAATTTGTACAGACAGTAATACTCCATAAAAAAATTATGTTTCTTGGAGAAGACAGTTTTCACCCATCATCCAGGGCAACTATGAATAGGAGCCAAGATGGGATTGCTTTGATAGGGGCTGAAATGTGCTGCCATGACTGTCCTTGGATAGTGTGTCAGGTCTGAGAACCAGATGCTTTAAAGAATACTGAAAATTATTAGAAGAGTTCAGAAAGCTCTCTGGCCTGTTTAATGTGTATAGAAAAGGATAGGATTAAGAGGGAAGTTCATCCATGCCTCAGAGTACTTCCTTGTCCAGATTTGGAATTGAAAGGCTATCCTCTAAGGGGCTAAGGCAACTCAGTACTCATGGCTGGAAGGTAAAGTTATTTCAGTCATTGTTTTTTATGGTTTCCAACTTTTTACTGAGAGTGCTTAATCATCAGAGTTACAGGATGTGGTAAATTCAGTCTTTAACCAAGGAAACATTTTCAGAAAGAACCTTTTTAATTTTGAACTAGAGAAGTTTATGACTGAATGAAGACATTTCTGGCTGCAGAGGAGCAAATTGGTGTCCTCATGACCTGTCTCTGATTCTCTGATCCTCTTTGTGGTGCTGCTTTAGCTCCATTACAATGGACTGCTGGAGACAATCCGTATCCGAAGGGATGGTTTCTCCTGGAGACCCTCATTTGAGGAATTTGCTGAAAGGTTTGTTAAAACCTCTGAATGTTTCTTATTAGATTTTGTTAGGGAAGCAGCCCTGGTAACCAGATATGGGCAAGAAGGGAAACAGCCTCTTTTAAGTTCACGTGCCTGAGATCATGGTGTTCTTTGCTGTGGGAGGCTGAGTGGGAAAAAGGGTAATTTATTGTTATTTGCTGTGAGGGTGATATGGATCAGGTCAGCACATCAGGAATGTGGATCTTACCTTGCTGTGTTGGGTTTTTTTTTTTCACAGATATGAAATTCTTCTTCTTAAACCAGATGTTTCTCTCACAAAAGAAAGGTAAGAATTGCTGTGTAGCAATTCAATTACTGTAAAACCTTGCTATCCTGTGGAATGAGACCTGGCTAATGTTCTCAACTTAGGCAGTCACAATTATGGTCAAGGGTTCCCACTGAACTCAGTGTGGCAGGGACTCAGGACAGTTGCCAGGTGCCTCTTCAGGCTTTTTCCTTACAGCCTCATGGGAGAATAAGAAGGTAAAGGTGATGCTGAGCAAGCAGCCAGCACTAAATGTCTCTCAGGATAGAGAGGATGTTTCTGGTCTAACAATTGCTTATGTGTAGAGGCATAATATAACCCCAGCTCTTTCAGAACCTGACTGTTCCTCACACAAATAAATGTCCCTCCAGCTCTGCAGTCTTACCTAGTCAACTTTTTACTTCTTATGTCTAGGACAGCAACTCTCCACCTCTTCTTTCCCACTTTCCCAGTCCCTCCTTCCTGCCACGGTCAACTGTGACTGATGGTGAAAATGAAGCATGTAGGGCAGCCAGCTGCCCTTTTCTTTTAAGAAAAGGATTTGAATGTTCCCTTGAAAAAGTTCTCTCCTGGAAGTAGCTCCTCCAGCCTTCACAGAGCTTCCTTAAAGTTTACTGGTGATACTGAATTAAAAAGAATTGCAAACCCAAATGAGACCTAAGTCAAGAGAGAATCTCATGGATTAGAGAAAGATGATGGCAGATGGGCAGCACAGTGGGTTTTCAGACACAGAATTTTTGAGGAAATAATTATTTTGGAGATAGATTCTGGCATGGTGGAAGTTGGCTGAGAAAGAAGGAAAACCACTTCTGCTTTGCTATGTGAGATAATAGCAAAAAAAGTGCCACTACAGTTTGACAGCCTGGATTTGCAGGCAGAGGGAGGAAGCTGTCTGTGCACTGCAGCTGGAGTGTTGCTTTCGGTTCTGAGTGTTGGCGAATCTTCTGAGGGACCCAAATTTTATCACTATTCTGAAAAAGGAAACTGGAATTGGAAAACAGACTTTCTCCGGAAGTCTTGCTGTGTTGACCTTGTAACTTATGTGCTTAAAAAAGTTTGGAAATGGAATGAGTAATAACAGTTCTGAGAATAAATAGGCTCTGCAGAATTGCCTCCCGGGGAGCCGAAGGAAATCTGTCTCTAGGAATCCCATTTGCTGATGTTCCTGAATGTGATCCTAGCGGTACCTCAAGGGGCACTGCAGACTGACTGGCAGTTACTGAATGTGATCGGGTGACAGGGCATAGAGGATGTAATGCAGAAACATTGAGGCACTTTTTCCCCCTTTATGCACCTAAAACCACTGGCTGCAAGGTGCTGGCTTTGGGTGGAAAATTATTTATTTCACTTTTTCCTCTCTTTCAGCTGCTTGGAGATACTGCAATGCACAGAGCTGACAGGCTGGATATGTGGGTAGGTGTGGATCACTGTTGCTGGGAGTGAGGGGCATGCACTGCTGACACTTTATACATACAGACTGTTACCTGGTACTCTTTAGGGAAAACTTTGTGGCTGTAGGCCTGCCCAGAGGGTGATTGGATGTAAGTTTAGACAAACTGTTTCTCACTGCTTCTTTTTCTCCCCAACTTCTCAGGAAGTCACGACTTTTCTTTAAATATTGGCACCAGGAACAGTTGGCAAAGTATGTGGAGCGACTGGAAAAAGCAACAATTGTCATACAGAAAGGTGAGCACTGGGGCAAGAGAGTCCCTCAACTCTGATCTCTGATCAGGGCAAGGAAATCTTTTCTCCAGTCCCTGCTTCCCCATTCCACCTTTGCAGATGACAGAAAGGCAGGCCATCTCCAGGCCATCTCCATTTCAATGTCCTGGGGAGTCAGCGTGCTTATTGCAGATGCCCACCTCTTCAGTGCTTATCCTCAATCAGGGAGAGCCATCACACAGTGTGAGCTTGGAAAGGGAAAGCACATGTGCAGGAGAACTGAGCTGAGCAGGGCAAGCATATGATTTGGCTGCACCCTGAAATCTGGGTAACTGTTCTCTGGAGTGAGGACTTATTTGAGAGTGGTGTTGAACTGAGGAGAGGGAAAAGAAGATGAATGAAGCAGATCTCATTCCTACTTTTAGCGACAGGCAGAAGAGGATGAAGTTTTCCTTTGGTGTGTTTTTTTTATTTCCTTTCTGGTAGTGTCTCCCTGGCAGCCTGTTTCTCCAGAGCAGGCACTGTGGGCAGTTTGGTATTTCCCTCTGTACAAGTTTCATGAGGACTGTGGAACCAGGAAGAAGAGGCTGTCATCCTGCCTAGTCACTCTCTGTTGTACTTGTCTGTTGTAATTACATGTCCACAACCCACTTCAGTATGTTGCACTGCTGAAGCATCTGAGCAGCTTCCAGCTGGGTGCTGTACAGCATAGCAAACATCAGGCTGTCACACGCTGTGCCTGGTTCTCACCCATGGGGAAGATGTGTGGGTAGAGTGAAATGAGGAAGTGTGGCTTTCAGTTCACGTGCTTTAGTAGCTGGTAGACTAGGCAAGAAAATACAATGTCTCTAAAGCTCCTGATGAACCCTTTGATGGCTGCTTATGGCAAAGGTTATCCTGTGGGCTGACACCATGGAAATCCCATCTCCTGCAGGGAAGAGCTTTGCTTTTACTGAGTAGTGCCAGCAGGGTACTGGGGGGATAGATGGTTAACAGAAACCCTTCTGTGAGACATTGTTTTTTAGGTATCCTGTGCCTTGGCATTAAAGTTGAGAGCTTAGATCTGTAATTCGATTTTTTTAAATCTCTGATCTGGCAGCTTAGAGAGTAGAAGACAGTTCTCATGGGGTTTTGACTTCCTGCTCAAGTAGAGTCTGCTTTGCTCTTTATTAACATGATTGAAGTGTTGAGGGCTTTTCCCTGGATGGAGGAATATCACCCAGTGTGCTTCCCCAGCAAGTGACAAAGGCATGACGAGCATTTTTATTATTTTTTTTTCTAACAACAGCTTTTCTCTGAACAGTTTTCAGGGCATTCAGATGCAGGAAGATTTACCTAAAACTGGTGGCTGAGCTGAGAGCTCAAGAGAAGGCAGAAAGAGAAAGAAGAAAGCAGCTGGCAGAGGAAGCAGAGGCCCAAAGTGAGTTGTTCCCACTGCCCCTGGGCTTCGCCATTTGTGCAATGATCACCTCAAGGTTCTGTAAGCTCCAGGTGGTGGCAGCCTGCCTTCAGCTTTCTGGGTCTGGGGGCTCCATCAGTGTGGTGGGCAGGGAGGTGCCAACGTTTCTGCCATTTGAAAGTGCAGCTCTCTCTGTGGGGAGCAGAAGCAGTGTGGTGAAGGTTGTCTGCTGGGCTGTGTGTTTCCCACACACTCCAGACAGCAGAACCTGTCCCTGTCCTGGGCATATGGAGGATGGATCTCATAGATCATATTCATCAGTGACCTGGATGAGGGGACACAGTGTGTCCTCAGCAAGTTCACTGATGATACCAAACTGGGAGGGGTGGCTGACACTCCAGAGGCCTGTGCTGCCATCCAGTGTGACCTGGACAGGCTGGAGAGCTGGGCAGAGAGGAAGCTAATGAGGTTCAAGAAGGGCAATTGTAGGGTCCTGCACCTGGGGAGGAAGAACCCCATGCACCAATATAGGTTAGGGGGGGACCTGCTGGAAAGCTGCTCTGAGGACAAAGATCTGGGAGTCCTGGTAGACAGTAAATGATCCCTGAGCCAGCAAGGTGCCCTTGCTGCCAAGAGGGCCAATGGAATCCTGGGGTACATAAGGAAGAGTGTGGCCAGTAGGTCTAGAGAGGTTATTCTACCCCTCTGCTCTGCCCTGGTGAGGCCACAGCTGGAATACTGCATCCAGTTCTGGGCTCACCAGTTCAAGACAGACAGGGAGCTACTGGAGAGAGCCCAGCAGAGAGCAACAAAGAGAACTGGGGGATTGGAGCATCTCCCTTATGAGGAAAGGCTGAGAGAGCTGGGACTCTAGCCTGGAGAAGAGAAGGCTGAGGGGAGACCTTATCAATGCCTACAAGTATCTAAAGGGTGTGTGCAAGGAGGATGGAGCCAGACTCTTTTCAGTAGTTCCCTGTGAGAAGACAAGGGGCAATGGGCACAAACTGGAACACAGGAAGTTCCACTTAAATATGAAGAAACACTTCTTTACTGTGGGGGTGACTGTCAGTGGAACAGGCTGCCCAGGGAGGCTGTGGGGGCTGCATCTCTGGAGATACTCAAGACCCGCCTGGATGCAGTTCTGAGGAATGTGCCCTGGGGCATCCTGCTAAAGCAAGGGAGTTGGACTAGGTGATCTCTAGAGGTCCCTTCCAACTCTTAAAATTCTGTGATTCTGTGATCTTGGGTGCTAGATCTCATCTTCTCTTTTCCCCATGGCAGAGAAGAGCTCCCGCCCAGTCCCTATGCCGCGGAAATGGTGCCCTCAGCCTTGTTGCCGTCCTCCTGATAAGCCACCGGTGCCACGGCCACGCAGCAAGCTAGCAGAGGTACAAGTATTGCCTCTGCTTGGGGCCCTTCAGCCAGGTGTGCTGGTTCCCTGCCCTTCCCACCTTCTGCATGCATGTGCTCTCCTGCATGTGGTCCCAGGAGAAGTTCTTGTTGTGAGAAGTGAGAGCATTCTTTCCTGCTGTGGTTAGAGAAGCATGGTCAGGACCTCTGAGGAACTGAAAGCATCATTTGGCAGTTTGTGACTGATCTTGTCTCAAGGGACTCAGGAGTGGGATCACTTCTAGAGTGATCCTTTCAAAGGTTCCCTGCCTTTGACCTTGCTTTCATTCTTTCTTTCCCCCTCTCTTCACTTCCAGTCCACTCCGTTTGATAACTTGGACCCTTCTGCACCTCGCCCTGTTCTGGGAACAAAAGAGCCAACTGGGGAAGAGACAAAAATAAGTAATCACAAGAGAGGAGCAACTCTCCGCTGGTTCAAAGAGACACAGGCTGAGAAGGTCATGCAGAACGATGGGGCCTTTCCAAGCTGGCTGCATGGGATGATCAGTCGGAGGTGAGTACCCTGGACACAGTGGCCACAGCTGGGGCTGTGGGAAGCAGACAGAAGCTGCAGTGTCCTTAGTAGGACTGTGTAGGTTGGATTTGCCAGTACTTGTCTCCTTGAGGAATGGGAGCTACTTGCATAACCTTCCACTTTCAGACTGTGAGCTTCAAACCCGCAGGGGGAGCTCAGAGCTCCCCATCACAGGATGCAAATGCTGAAGCCAAATACAGATCCTGTGCCGGGTCGGGAGGCTTGGGAAGTACCTGGAGAAGAAATGCACACATGTACACTCTTGTGGACCATTCCCAGAGATGTGATATGGAATGAAGATGAGCTTTTGGTCTGACTCATTATGACTGTTATCATATTTCTCAGTTTACCTTAGGAGAAGACTTGAGCTCAGTTGACAGCAAGATAATACAGAATTCAGTGTACATTCAATTTTTTAAAAATATTAAGCGGGGCTTTAATGAGTACCCAGTAGCAAAATGCCCCCAAAGACTCCAGAGATGTCAAAAGGAAGATTTACTGTTGATACCTCTGCCCATCTAAGGCGAGTGCAGCAGAGGTGGAATTCACATCCCTTTAGGCTGGACGAGACATTGCATTTTGTTTATGAGACTGTGAACTTCAAACTATTTTGGGAAAGCCTTTATTTGAATGCTTGAAATTTTGCTACTGAGTAGGCCTCACACTTCACTCACTCACTTGGCTGGACCAAGCACTACTTTCCAAGCAGTTTGGTATTAAGATAAATGCTGATTATTCCAGTGATCAGATAGAAGCAAGACAGTGGGGTTAGCAGGTAGACATCAGAATCTCTGGCTACAGTCTCCCCTGTGTGCAAACAATTCTATAGTGCTGCATGCTTGCTAAGTGCCAGTGTCCCTTATTTGGTGGGATTTGTGTGTGGGCATTGCTGCCAAGCATGCCTGTCACTTGAACACCTTTATCATCTTGTTCCAGTTCAGAACTTCTATCTGTTCAAGCTGCAAGTCTCCTTCAGTCTTATTATATCACAAGTTCCTGGATTTTGTCAGCTTATCAGTGTGTACATTACTCAAAGACATTGTACAGCACATTACCTTAGTAAAGGATTCTACTGTAGCTGACAGCTCTCTGGTAGCTGCATTTTTTTCTTTTTTTTAAAGATAATTAACAAGCCCTCATTTTCATTAGTGCTTTTGTCCACAAATGCGAGAATGCCAGACAGGAACTAGCACCTGGAAGCCAAAACTGTCCAAAATTTGGTATAGGCTGGCCATGAGTACTTCGCAATGAAGGACTTAGCAGATCCTTCCCAAAGAGACTGAAGATTAGACACTTCTGAAGTGGTGTTTCCCACTGCTGGATTTAAGACTCCATGTAACAGAGCAGCAGAGCAATCCCAACTGCCCTGCTGATCTGCAGTCACCTTTAGCCTGGAGCAGGGCACATGACAAGCACAAAGCAGTGCTTTGTCTATTGGGCAGAGAGGGGGAAGACCCACTTCCAGCAGGAAGTTTAGAGAGCCAGAGTGGTGTAATCTACGTTGGTGTTTGTCCAAGGCACTGGGCTTACCTTGTGCTGAGCACCACTACCCCACAGCATCCCAGTTCCTTCCGTCAGCTCTGGAATGTAGGGAATGTTTATGTGCACAGCCTCCTTATGCTTTGTCACATGTGCTGTGTTGGAAGGTTGCTGTTGCTATTGCACTAGTTTGACTGCTGGAGCAGGTTTAGAGCAGCCCTGCTTGGAGAAGCTTTGGCTAGGAGTGTTGTGTCTCCTCAGCCTGCTAACAACTCCTTGCACCAGCAAGTCTGGAAACCTCTAGCTGAGAACACATGGGGCAGGTGCTAGCCTCCTTGTGGACTGGTCACACAACCATGGTGGCATATGAGACAGGATGGGTGTCCCTGCACAGAGGCAGCTGCTCACTGTCTGCTGAAAAACTCTTTCCTGCTTCCAGGGAAGCTGAAAACTTGCTGGTTGACAAGCCTTTGGGTTGCTTCCTAGTTCGGATCAGCCAGAGTCGACCAGGCTACACCTTGACATACAGGTAGGTAATAAGCCTTGCAGAGTAGGAAAAAGAAGGCCCTAAACTGAGCTATGCATGGCTGGATGAGTTAACTTTTTTCTCTGCAGATGAGTCCAGTGAGGATGGTGTTCATCCTTTCCTGTTGTGGGTGCCTCAGCTTGGAGTAGCAGACACGACACTGCAGAGTCTGTCTCTTGCCAAAAGGGGCAAACAAGGTTGAAAGAAGCATTAACGGAAGGACACAAGTCTAGAAGAGGGTCTGAGGAGGGGCAATCAGAGTGCTACAAGGACATGATCTTTGTACAGCCTCAGGGAAGGCATAGGGCAGAATTCTCATGTGGACAACAAGCATGAGAGGTGGTACCGTCTGCTGAGCTTTGGGTCTGGCTGCTGGGGTTCTCCTGTCACTAACCCTGGGGAGATGCTCCTCCAGCCCCTACCAGAACAGTGTCTGACATTCCAGCACGGTGCATCTTCCACGTTTTTGTGCTCTTTGTTACTGTGGCTCCTGCTCACACCTGGCCTCTGGAGACAAGTGCAGGGAGGGATGACTGGGTCCCAGGGAGACACTGTGGCCCCAAGCCTTGACAGTTGCTGCCTGCCCCCCTCCCCAGGGGCAAAGGCCGCTGCAGACACTACATGATCCAGGTGCAGTCCAACGCACGCTACGTCATCCTGGGGGAAGACCGGGCTCACACCTCGCTCACCGAGCTGGTTCGGTATCACCAGGCTGTGGGCATCCAGCCCTTCATGGAGACACTGACTGTGCCCTGTGGGCAGGTGAGTGTCCAGGATCTGCAGCCAGAGGAGAGGATGGGGTGTGGGCTGTGCCCTGGGTGGATAGAGTCACTGTGGCAGCAGCTGTCTTTTGTATTCTGGCCAAGCAGCCTGGCATCTTCTGCATATGCTGGGGAGATGCTACTAGCTGGGCACTGGGGAGTCCTGGGGTGTGGGAGAGACCCTGGTGGGTGGGTGACACTTCCCTGCCCCTTGAATGTCAGCAGTGGGCACAGCTGGGTATTCCAGTGTGTTGAGCTGTTTGGGGTATGTGGAGAGTCTGCAAGCCACTGCTAAATATGCTCTTTTGTCCCCTCAGAAAAGTGGTGAGAGTTTGGATCCAGAAAATCTGGAGTGCCTTAAGCAGGGTCTGTCAGCTGCCAACGGGGGGTCCTCTCCAGAGGACCAGCCCTGCCCCTCCAGGCCTTCCACCAACAAACCTGCTCCGCAGCAAGGAGCAGCCTCGGTTCTCATGCACTTGCAGTACAGGCAGAACAACAATTTCCAAAGCCAGCAGAGCAGTGTGAAAAAGCCAAGCTCAGACAAGGAGGGAAGCCAGCGACAAGCTTTCCCTCACCTCCATTCTTCCATACGTCTGGCGATGCAGGAAATCCAGCAGGTGAGATGAGGCACCCACAACCAGTGTGGAACATGTGGAGCTGCCCCATCCAGGGGCAGGAGAGAGGAGGCTTCCACTGGTAGCTCCTCGGTCATGGGATGGTCTGTGGGTCAAGTCTATTTTCACTGGAAGTGCTGGGCTGGTGAAGACCCTGGGAAGGGGTCGCTGAGATGCCTGAAAAAAAGTCCACAACAGAAGGGGGCTGTGATGTGGCCAGTGTCCCAGTCACTGCTCTCCTAATGCTGTCTCTCTGCTTCTCCAGCAGTTCTCTTCCATTTTCTTGAACAACTCTCTACAGAGCTGCTGTCAGTCTCTCAGCGTTAAGGACATAAAGCCCAACTGACATGGTAAGAGGAGGCAGCACACAGGAAGGCAGACAGCAATTGCAGCTTCCCTGGTAAATGGAGGAGCAAAGGGGCTCTTGCCTTCCTGCTCCACCTGGAGCATTTTTTGGCTACCAGCTTTCTAGAAACCACAATAAAAACAGAGGGCAGTGGCCAGCATTCATTCCAGGGCTGCAAAAAGACCAGGAAAAATGGGAAAAATCAGCATAAGATTGGGTTCCCAGCACCTGTGCTGCACAGTGTGCCTGCAGTTCAATATCAAGGCTGCTGGAGGGAGCTCACAGGTTTTTAGAGGCCCAGGGCTGGAAGAAAGAATGCTATCAGAAAGCATATCTGCTTGTGGAGAGAGGCACCTATCAGAAGTGGGTGCTGGGCGGAAGCAGTGAGCCAGAAGCAAGGTGGAGAACATACAAAAAGCAGCAAACTGTCAGGACTTTAAGCAAGGCCTCAGCAGCTGGAAACAGCTGGTTACTGAGGCTGTAATATACTGAGAGGGATATAGGAGTATATGGAGTGGGCCAGGATGCTTCTGACACAGCTGGCTATGCCCCATGCCTTGATTGCCTGAAGCATCTAGTGGATGCGCAGCTCCCCTTGTGCAGCCAAGTGGGTGAGTCCCTGTCCCATTCAGTTGCTAAAGGGAGGAGGAAGCAGGATTAGTGCTGTTGTAAACATCTGGAAAAATCTCTGTGTCAGCTGGGAGTGCAGAGAGATCTGAAGAGCATGCTGTTGGCTTCAGATCCACTGTGGGGCTTACAGCCCTGCACCAGGGTTACTGAGATACCTGTGTGGTTCTGCTCCCAGGAATTTATGTTGGAATGAAGCTTTTTGGTTTGGTCCTGTCTTGTCTTGTCTTTGATGGCTGATAAAATCCTCTGCCTTAAGTGTTTGACTCAGTTGTTTGCCTGATGGTGGGTACTGATGTACCCAGGGGATGCTCCTTGTGTCTGAAGCTAGGCAGAAGAAAGACAAAACATGTGGGATTTGCATAGATAATTGCAAGCATGTCTTACTGAGACTGCTGAGTGGCACCCTCCCTTTATGTCCTCCACTGAGTTGTGTTTCTTGACTTTCTTGTAGGTTGGAGTGACTCAGCCGTGTCCTGTTTCAGTGCTGCTGGGCCTTAACCTAACTCAGTGAACATACTGGACATACAGCAGCCTTTTTTCTTTTCTTTTTGTGTTTGCTGCACCCAGCTGGCCCTGTGCCTTTAGACATGCCTGCTGCAAAAAATGAACTTTCATGAGCACTCAGCTGGTCTCAGCAGCTGAGACTGCAGTATCTGGACCAGTCTGGTCCTCACAGAGGGGAGAGGATGGGAACAGCCACACTGCACAGTCCCACAGTGCCTGACAGTCCATGTGTCAATACTTCAACGTGCCTAGAGACCCCTCACCTTGCACTGTTAGTAGTCTCAAACTGGATGTCTTGAAACAGCATGTTTTCTCACAGATACCTGTACTGATTTCCTACCTCTTTCTCTTCAAGTCCTGTCTCTCTTTTCATCCTGTGTGTCTGCTGCTCTGAGTGCCAAGGGAAGCTGGGCTTGGGAAGTCAGGAGTTAAACTGGTGTGTCCAGTTTTTTCATTGCAGGAGCACTTGAACAGGAACTGAGACAAGGGGCAAGAAGATCTTCCTGCAGAGGGAGTTTCCTGCCCTTGCATCAGTGTTCTGGCACACTGCTGCCCAGTCCTTGGCCACAACTTAAGTCAGGGAACCACTGGGGAAACCCTCTTGTTCATCCTGGTTAGAATCACTACAAGGTGGGCTGGACAACACGCTAGTTTACAGTGAGGATAGGGAGCTTGGAACATACAGAACCATGCTACTTGTTATGTATTTTCTACCTTCTAAAATAAATTTATGTTGTTTCTATAAGGAGTGTTTTTCTGTGACCTGCAGCAGTTCAGCCATGGACTGCAAAGGGACGAGAACAACTAACACCTCTGAGGGCAAACAGGATTGTGTGAAGTGTCTCGGTGGAGAAGCTGAAGGTTCAAGGGCCAGTAATCCGGGTGTACAACTGCCACCTGAAACAATGCTCTCCTCCATGCTAGCCTCATCTCCCCATGTATGCTGTGGGTGGGGCCTCCTCTTTGCAGCCTGTGCCAAGCTTCCTCTGGCTCAGTGCTTCCCTGGCAGACCCCTCTGCACCAGGAGACAGACACACTGCCCACCCCACTCCACCCCTCCCTGTCCCTGTTGCACAGGACTTCACTGCCCTGTTTGAAAAAGAATCATAGAATCATAGGGTCAATATGCTGAGTTGGAAGGGACCCATCAGGATCGAGTCCAACTCCTGTCCCAGTGTAGGGCACCCCTAGAATCACACCCTGTGCCTGAGAGCATCATCTGAATGCTGTGACCACTTCCCTGGGGAGCTTGTTCCAGTGCTCAACCACCCTCTGGGTGAAAAACCTCTTCCTAAAATCTAACAGGAACCTCCCCTGATTCAGCTTCCTGTAATTTCCCCAAGTCCTGTCATTGGTCACAGAGTGAAGAGATCAGTACCTGCCCCATCTCTTCCCCTCATGAGGAAGCCACAGACTGCAATGAGGTCACCCCTCAGCCTCCTCTTCTGCAAGCCGAACAATCCAAGAGACCTCAGCCACTCTCCACAAGTCATAGTGGATGCTTGTGGCTGTGTCTGAGCTGCATTTAACCATGGGGCTGCTTCACTTCCCTCCCCTGTGCTTTCTGGAGCAGCAGTGCTGAGCTGTGCTGGGTCACAAGGGAGCACAGCTGGGGACCAGACAGGGAAGCAGTGGCAGTTCCAGCCTGACATGCTGGCTCTCCCCAGCCCTGCCTTGCAGCACTAACACACCTTTTCACTTTCTCCTGCTGGGTTTTGGCAGCTGCTTTGAGGCTGTTCAGGACAGAACCAGTCCAGGCAGTCCAAGGCTGCTGTTTGCAGAATCTTCCTGGCTAAGCCTTGTCCTCTGTGCCAGTGTTCTCCTTGGCTTCCTCCACTGCTGAGCAGCTGGGAAGCCTTCTTTCTGGATAGCATGTAGAACTGCCTCATGGCCAAAACATTTCCAAGAACTCACTAGTTCACAGAACTGAGAAGTGTATGAGAAATGCATTTCAGCAACAGAGCTCTGGAATTCCTTCCTAATTTCTGTGCCACAGAGCATGGTGTAAGCCCAGGGCTAAGGTCCAGCAGCAAAACACTGTTCACTCCTATGGCCTGGCAGGGATAATGCTGAACCAAGGAGGGTGGCGAAGAGTTTTCCCCTAGCAGCTGCCTCCAGTACCTCCTGGGTGCTGTTGCAGGCACAGCTTACAGGGAACACTGGGTGGGGGACATTAGGGGAGGGTCAGAACACTTCTCCAGTGGTTGTGCATGGCACATCTCTTGGCAAGCCTCCCAAAACCAAGGCAGATCTACTACAGATTTTTTTTTTCCCCTGTTTTGATGGATGGTAGGTAGAATTGCAATGTGGGCAGCCAGGAGCCTGGCACGGACCCAGGGAGCACACCTGGGCTGGCAGGTCAGGTTTCTTCCAGGTCTGCTACTTCTGCTTTTTCTGTGACATGGCAAGAGGAAACGAAGGGAAGAGCAGGGTGATGAGCTGCTAGGCTGAGGAGGTTATGCAGCACTGGAGGCGCTGGCATGATTTCTGCAAGGATCTGGTTTGCAGGAGCGTTAACAAACAGACAATGCTTGGCTTATATACAAGGTCTAGCCAAGCTCTGGAGAGCAGTGCTGGGGCTGTCATAGACAGAAATATGTGCCAGCAATGAGGAAAAGATGAGAAAGGAGCTGGGAATACAATAGGCTGCTGAAGAAAAAAAAAAATAATAAAAATGCAGATTTTACATCTCCAGCATGGTCTTTTCTTGCATGCTTCTATATTGTGGCCAAAATCAGGCACTGGAGTTCTGTGTGAAAGCATGAGCTATACTAAAGGTTTCTTTCATCTTCCCCCTAAAGATGGTCTTCTCCATTGCAGAGGAGCAGCTACATGAGCAGCCCTACCTCATTTCCTATGGCAGCAGTTTGCCTTGTGGCACTCAGAAAGTTGTGTCTTAGGAAAAGCAAAGAGCAAATTGCATCAGGCATTGTGGGAAGGCTGTTCATGTTTTATCACGTTGGGAGTTCATCTGGCGTGTGATGAATTGAATAGGATGTACTCACATAAAAGGCTCTATTGGGCTGAGTGAGCAGGGGCAGCACCCAGAGAAGGCCTGGCAGCCCGCAGACCCCCTGAGCCCTGCATTTCATGCCCCATGGGATTCAGCTGAGGTCTGAGGGGAAGGCCAGGAAGAGAAGCCTGGGTGTGGGGAGCTGGGCAGAGCTGGCACCCAGGAAGGCAGGAAGAGCAGCAAGAAGGTGCTTCAATCCACAGGAACAGGAACTGGAAGTGCTACAGGGACCTTCTGGCTTGGAGACTTGGGAGGAATTTTACTTCATAATCTGTGCCTTCCCAGTCATTGTCCCTACTCCATTCTTACAACTGGTGCTTCGCTGTGTCCTTTATGGAGATTCCATAACCTGCCTCCTTGTTTTCACAGAGAGGTTTTGTGTTCCTTTCTTGTCTCGCTCTGTGCCTTACATCTGAATGATTTTTGCGGCAAACATTTTAGTTTATCACCTGTTTCTGTCCAAACTGAAGCTCAGTCTTGCCTTTGTCCTTGAGGTGTCTGGCCAGCAACTCCCCACCAAGCTGGCTAAAACAGAAATTTTCTTTCCTCTCTCCTTTCATTCTCAGCCTTCCTTGTTCTTCTTTTTCGTAGCTCTGCTTCTCCTCTCCTCTCCTCTCCTCTCCTCAGTTTGGCCATCATCTTTGATGTAGACTTGAGGTTTAGGAACGTGAACCTGCAACCCAAGGACCAGTATGGCTTGTGATCTCTTTTCACACAGCTGGCAGCCCTCATGTTGTTTGCTTTCTTCCAGGGCGATGCTATGGTGTATGCTCATGCTTCCTTCCCCAAATACATTTTAAAGACCTATTTGGCCCTCAGCCTGGACAAGGCTTTCCACACTGCTCTTAGCCTCACTTCAGTCTATGTCAAGTGACTGTGGAGTGTTGTAACAGCATCTCGAGGTACAGCCTTTTCTTTCTCCTACTTAACCCTGTTGTCCACACCAAACACTTGCATCATGTGTCGTCGCTTTGCAGCAACATTTAGGACAGGCTATTTGACCGGGGCTTTGCTGATCAACTTGCTCCTTCTGGTTCATCACAAAAGCATACAAACTGCTGTCTGAGCTGAAGGCTTCAAACCAGCACAGGATCCTGGCTGTGAAGGTGGCCAGTGGGGTATGGTTGGAGCAGATTCAAGAGCAGTGTAGGCATAAAGCCATGCATCCTTTGCTGTGTGTTTTGATCAATAGTCATTTTAATATTATTCTGACCAAAGTATCCTTCTGTCTATCAGTCCTTCCTGAGTTGCTTTTCCATAAAAGCATCTCATTGCTTTTGATCCATTCTAGATTATTTTGTCTCTGTAGCAACCCTACGCAATTAATTCCTCAGACTTACAATGCATAACAAAGAAGTACTTAAATTTGTTTGGCTTTTAACCTGCTGTTTAATTATTTAATCAATATGTCCTTCTTTCTATACTATAAAATGGCACAAGTAATTGTTTCCAAAACAGCTCGCTCACTGCACATAATTTTCATGCATCAGTTTCTCTCCCTTGTTAGTCTTCTCTGTCCTGTACATTTTATTTTCCCTTTCCCCTTTTGTGCCTCTTCTTAATTCCACTGTTTATTGTCAGAGAGGGAAAGGAGAAACCTCAGAGATGACCCTCAGGCCACTTCCTTGAGTAGGGATAACTCATCTGAACTCTCCCTTTGTGCAGGTAGAGCTTCTCCTTGTAAATTACATCTACCAGTGCTGACTTTAATTTGTAATTCTGTCATCCAGCTGCTTGTTGTGAGATCTTTATTGAACTCTGCAGCAAGTGCTCATTTTCACAGCACCACACACCTCAGCTTCACCAGCAAGCT